GCTTGGGGGTGAAAAAAACTATCCACTGTTACTGTCAAATTGCTCACAGAAGTGCATGATTGAGGGAAATTACTTTTAAAAACCAAAAACAAAAAAAGGTTGTTATTTGTAGATTGTTATTTTAAAAAAATGTAAATAACTGAATTTTCCGCAACGGTTTGGAGTCAGCTTTCAGGGTTTAATGTCTTGCTTGATGAAAAGATCGCCCCAACCCCCCTTTTAAAGGAAAATTATCGCAGGAGAATTCAGGATGTCTTAAAGCTAACATGCACCGAAAAACTCAAAAGGTAACCTAAATGTCTGATTTTAATAGCACATTTCTTTTACATAAACTGTGACGGCAACTTGCATAAACTATTTAGCACTGAAATTCTTCAAGTGTTAACTTTAATGTAAAAGTTGGTAAAAAGAAAAAAAAGATGTTTTAAAAGTAGATACTTAAAATATATCCACTTGCATCTGCATAAATTAGTAATAATGTTTTAATACTTGTGCTCTTTTGTCAATGTAATGAACTGTAAACCTTGGGCAAAAGCAAAAAGATTTAAATCTTAAATATAAATATGGATGTAGCTAGTCCTGTGTTTATCAACAAAATCCAAGTAAAAACTCAGCCCTTATTTACCCATTATTGCTGTTCGCTATCTTAAAATGCCCATTTGTAGGTTTTAAGTTGCATGTTTCCTTTCCCTGCAGCGTTAAATTGCATGCAAAAGTTATGTCAAAATTTATTTCAAATTGTGTGTGGTGGTGAGGAAACTTACTCTGTCTTTCCATTTGCAGGTAGCGCTTGGCAGTTTGGGTGAAAGTGACATTTGATGAGAACATGGTTGGGTATGTTTATCTATTTTTGCTTGTCTGGTTTTGAAACCATATTCTTGCAGTTTGCATAGGTTATTTTTGCATTGGCATTGTCATTAAAGTTTTAAGAGGTCGTCTACAGAATTACATCTCCCCATTTGGTTGGCCTGACTACTCAGTTCCTACTAAGAGATGGAAGCTGGTTGTCCCCCATTTTGGGGAGGATAGGGTAGAAGCCCCCAAAGGGCTGTTTTGCAGTGATATGGTTTGCCATCTAGAATGGCCTCTCAGTGGAGATTTCTTTTTTGCCCAAACATTGCCTCTCTTCTGGAAAAAGCTGAAGACAAGTATTCTTTTTAAAGTACATACTTTATTTGGGTGTTATTAAGGCTTTATTTTAATTTTATTTATTTATTTTACATATCCCCCCCCCCCTATTTTTTTTACACATAACTCAAAGCAGTGAACATATGACTCCTTCCTCCTATTTTCCTGACAACAAACCCTGTAAGGTGTGTTAGGCTAAGTGTGTGACTGGCCGAAAAATCAGCTGGGTTTGGCTCAGAGTCTCCCAGTCATGCTTTCATGCTTAAAGTAGGACTAGAACTCACTGTCTCCTGGCAATGTCACTCAGCTTTCTTGCCTAAGGCAGGACTAGTACTCACCATTTCCTGGTGATTGGCACAAGGTCACTCAGCAGCATTTGATGCCTAAAGTGAGACTTGTTGTGGTTAGCCAGCAGCAGGTGCGGACGGCTGAGGAGAGCGAGGACTCAGATAAGGGGCCAGGACCATTAGGGATTGGACTGCTGCCTGCAGAGATTGTGGGGGCTGGCAGCAGCAATGAGGTTCCCGACGAGCGCAGGGCTGCTTGCAGAAAACAGCTGCAGCAGCATGGGTAACTCGGGAGTAAGACTGCAAGGTAATGGCCCTTCCTTCAAGCAGATAAAAGCCAGCTGTGAAGCAAACGTTCTTTGCAGGAAGCAAAGACGTTTTGAAACTCAGTCTCGTGGACATTACAATATCTTAGGTTGGTATTTGAAGACTCTTGTGAAATATTTCTTATCTGTTATTCTTGGCAGCCTCGCACAGTTTGGGTGAGGCTGGTGCTTATCAAAGTTAATTAATTTGCATCAGCCTTTTAACCGGGGATTCATAAGAATAACTAAAAGGTTTCCGTTCCCTTTGGTTTATGTTTGTTTATTGGAAAAAGGTTTGGGTCAGAAGAAGACTAGATCTCACAGTCTCTTTTAGTGCAATGCTTTTTAGCCCGATGCTTTAAGCCAGGAGTGTTAAATCCACGGGCTGGATGCATCACACGCAGCCCATGCCCACCCCAACTCCACAAATGGGGGAAGCTTCGCAAAATGTCATGTGACGGCAACATGATGCCAGGAGTTTGACACCCGTGCCTTAACCACTAGACCAGGGGTGTCAAACTCGATTTCATTGAGGACCGCATCAGGGTTGTGTTTGCCCTGGGGAAGGGGGGGCATGGCTGGGGTGGGTGATGCCACTCGTGTCGGGGGGTGCCTGTGGTGGCCCAAGTACTCTACCAGCAAAAATGGGTTCCCATGCTCCATTTTCGGCTGGGATGGCCGCCTGCAACCCTCTGATTCATGATTTTTTTTCCTACCATAGACTAACATGACTCTCTTCCTACAATGAGTTCTGTATGGGTCTGAAGGTGCAAGCTACCTCTTAAACTGAAAGTGACAAGTCTCTTGAGTATGTAATGGGAACTAAAACATATCTTGGCTTCCAGATGGATGTCTTACTTTCACTGTGATTTCAGGGGCAATTTGAAAAACATGAATATTGTGTTTTGGGGGCTCTGACTGTAAATCACTAAATCATAACTGTGCCACTGTTTTATTGGTATGTTACTGTTGAACACAACCGAAACATTAAGTGATATATTTCAGTAACTTTCTCCATTTTTCCCCCAATAGGCGGAGTCTTCAAATCAAAGAAGATGACTTGGAAACAAGTTTTATAATAGAACACATTCTTATCAAATCTTGGAGATTTTCCAATCTTTTTCAACTCTATATGTACTGGACAGGACTTCAGGGCGGTTTATTTTATAGATAATGTAGTCCTTCCTATTTAGGTTATTTCCCTAAGTTTTGGTTGTAAATTTGGAAGTACTACAAATTCTGCCTAACATAAAATGACACTGCAGACTAACGCTTATGGCCTATGTAAAGTGTTTCAACAAGATTTCAACAATTTGGTGATTTGTTGCTCCATAATTACTCCGTGCACTTTCACATTTTAAAAGAATGCACTGACTTTCTAGAAATTCCTCTTTTTATGGTTAGTACTGGAACAAAGGAATGTTATTTGGATCTATTTTCATGTGCTATGATAGTACAATTCATTTGAATAAAGGTTCCTATTTTAAATAAATATGATTTTATGTTAATCATTTTGCTAGATGGAGCAACCTATGGACATTCATTTGAACTTTATTTTTAAATTATAATTCAGCCTTCATATGGATCAGGCAAAATCATTTATCACAGTATTGAAAGAAAGAACATGAAAAATAGAAAGTTTATTGTTACCAGGTAGGTAACAGAAAAAAATGGATTTAATTATAATTGCACCCTTCCTCTTTGAAATATACACAATCATTCTGGATGGGACCGTTTAGAAGAAAGAATCCTTCTGCCAAACAGTTCTCGGTCCTTCCTAACTTCTCAGGGTTACTAGAAGCAACCGTGGTTTTTTTTTTGTTTTTTTTCACATGTAGCACTTTCCAACACTTGTGAATGAAAAAGGGGGAATTGAATACTTTCCCCCCCTTTTCATTCACAGCTGTTGGAACAAAAGGTCATAATACTAGATATATTGTTTCCATTTTTATTAGCTTTGCAATGTTTAACCCCTTGAAAAACAAATGTAGGGATTTAAAGTATCTGTTAGAATCTGCTTAAATATTCAAAGGATGTGCATATTTGTCAGGAAAGTGGCTGATCTAGTTCCTCGCTTTTAAAGGATCAGTGTTTGAAGTACACCTTCAAGTCAAATTTAAATAATTCAGTGATCAAATACTCCTCCAAAGTTTGGAGAGTAGGTGGGACCACACAATAGTGTAAATGCACAGCTCTGGGAAACACAGGTTGGCGATTCTAGTCATATGCAAGCAACATTTCCTGCTATATAATTTTTCACCTTAATTTAAAGCAAGCTAAAGTTCAGGAGAATGCTCTGACTGGAAATCAAAAGATCTTTATTTGTGGCCATTTTGGTACAGTACCTCAAGAAAGAAACATTGGCATATGAAGACAGGTACAAACCTAACATCAAAATGCTGTCAGGATATAGGTGCTAAATTATAGCGGCCAAAGATTGTACAGTAGTGGGAAACAGCCACCCAACAGCTTCACTTCACTGGGCAGCTGGAGAAAGAAAGATCGTTCAGGAATTAAGGTCTGAATTAAAAAGCAGCTTCATTCCTCTGCAGACTCCACGGACATGTCTGCATAGCTGACAAGACGAAAGTATGCCAAATATTCTAGGATATTTTTTGCCTAAGTTTAGTTCAGGAGTCTCCAAACTTGGCAACTTTAAGGCTTGTGGACTTCAACTCCCAGAATTCTCCAGCCAGCATAGCTGATGAAGAGTATATGATCATAGGGTTGGAAGGGACCTTGGAGGTCCTCTAGTCCAACCCCTGTTCAAGCCAGGGACCCTATACCAGGGCCCCCCAAACTTGGCTACTTTAAGACTTGTGGACTTCAATTGGGAGTTGAAGTCTACAAGTCTTAAAGTGGCCAAATTTGGGGACTCCTGGTCTAGTTGGTGCTGTAAGATTTTCTGGTGGTCTCCCATCCAATCTTGTTTAGGGTTCCAAGCTCAAGGGTGGGTCCTTGCGCGTCTCCAGCTAAGCTTCGCAAGGCAGACTAGTGAGCTACGAGCGCCTCCTTGTCTAGACTGGAATCCCGGGGGCGGGGTTGCATAAGACGCCTCGGCTCCCGAGGCAAAATGGCTCCTTCCATCTGGGCGCCAGTCTCCATTCCTCCGGGCGCGCTGGAATTCGACCAAAGTGAGAGAGTACGGGGCACGCCGCGTTGCGCGCGCACCCTCACCGAAGCTCCTCCAAGAAGAAGGGGCGGGACGCGAAGGGGCGGAGCGCGCTCACGCGAGCTCAGCCAAGCGAGCTCTGCGACAGGCCTTTTGTCTCTCGGCGGCCGCCGTCCCCTTTCCCAGCGCCGAGAGAGCGCCTCGCCCCCGCCATCTTGTTTCCCGCGGCCGCTGGAGCTGAGCGACGCTGCTGGCGATGGGTGAGGCGAAGGCGGTGGGCCGCTGCGCGATGCGCCGCTTGGGGCTCCTGCAGCGCCTCAGCCGCGCTCCGTCCCGGGGGAGGCGGGGACCCGCGCGTTTCTCCGACCTCCGGCCTGTGCTGCTGCTCGGCAGCTGCGGCCTCCTCCGGCACGAGGATGGGCATTTTGCCCCGGTCCCGTCCCGTCCCGTCCGCCCGGCTCCCTCCTCACGCGAGGCACAATGGTCGCGCCGGAACAGACTGCGGGGTCTGGCCGCGAGCTTTCTTGATAGCCTGAAGGCGGGCAATCGCCGGGCTCGATAGGAGGGCAGCGGCGGGGGCGCGGATTAGATGCCGTTTCTGCCGCCTCCTCTCATCGCGGTGATGCTTCAGCTGTTAACACGCCTTTTCCTGGTCCCCAGAACTGTTTAATGGGGTCCGTAACGACCCCTTCCCCCTCCAAATCACCCCAAACCGTTCTCCACAAGCGCCTCTTGCCTCCTAAGCCTCGACTTACCACCTAAGCCCCCTTTGCAGGTAGTCCTCGACTTACGACCGCAATTGAGCCCCGCGGGTTTTTTTTTTTTTTTGTGGTGAGACGTTTCTTAAGAGGGTTTTGTCCCGTTTTACGATCTTTCTTGCCACACTTAAGTGAATCGCCACAGTTGATGTTAGTAACCTGATAGTTAGGTGAATTCGATTTCCCCATTGACTTTGGTTGTCCAGAAGGTGGCAAAAAGTGACTGACATAATACGGGGTGCTGGCAGCGGTCATAAGTATGAACCGGTAGCCAGGTGCCAGGATTTTAATCACATGATCATGGAAGGTGCTACTCTGAGAAACAAGTCCTAGGTCACTTTCCCCAGTGCCGTTATAAGTTAAAATGAACTGCTGTAAATCGAGGACTACCTGTACAAATGGCTCCAGGATGTGCTCCAACTACCCTCTCTGGAGTAACTACTCCAGGTTTAAAGCTGTCTGCTCTATCCCGTGGCACTTTTAGGGGCTTCTTGCTGATGGCTCCATTCCCTTCCTCTGTTTAAACTGTGCACACTCTAACCTCGTGTTTTTCGAACTTGGCTACTTTCAATTCATCGCTGGGGAATTCTGGGACTTGAAGTACAAGTGGCTTAAAAGTGGTCAAGTTTGAAAGAAAAAAACAACTGGTATAACTACTGCTATATTGTGCGGGTTCTTTTACACTGTTGGGGGGTGTTCCTGACTTTGCGAAATGGATATAAAAGTGTTTTGGAATGAATGACTATAAATAGTTGTGGTTCGTTGTGTACCCCATTTTTCCCCCCAAGATCAGAGGTCCCCAGACTTGACCACTTTAAGACTTGTGGACTTCAACTCCCAGAATTCTCCACCCAGCTATGACTTGAATCCACCAGTCTTAAAATGGCCAAGTTTGGGGACCCCTGGTATAAGGTCCCTGACTTGAACAGGGGTTGGACTAGAGGACCTCCAAAGTCCCTTCCAACCTTATGATCATATACTCTATCAACTATGCTGCCTGGAGAATTCTGGGAGCTGAAGTCCACCAGTCTTAAAGTTGCCAAGCTTGGAGACCTCTGCCCAAGATGGTAGCATAAGATTATTTTTTTTTCAGAATTTTTGTATATATAAAACAGCCTACTTGAGAGCAAGTGGCCCCAGGAAATGAGATTTTCAGAAATTAGTTTTGAATGTTTAAATGTAGCAGTGCTATTTCTAGACCCATGTGCAAATATTTCCAAAGTGATAAAATATTCAAAAATTGGAACAGGATTCCTCAAAGTAGATGCCCAGATTACTCAGGTTGCATCATTAGGGTGTGTGTGTATCTGCATGAAGCAGCTCTAGGATGGTTATAAGTAGAACTCATTGCAGCGTCCCACAGTTTGGCATCCTTAGCACATTATTAGACAATAATCCCCATTTTTCCTAGTCAGCCACTGAAGCAGGAGAGCACCAGGTTAAGGAAGAGGTTCAACAGAAATGGCAAGCAGATACATGAAACATGCTGCTGTAATATAATGAATAAATTGAAAGTGAGATTCAGGAAATTTCTAGTTTTAAACTTTGAGCCTAATGTATCTGCAATTTAGGAAGAATTTTATGATGTCCCAGTCATTCTTACACAGATTGTTAACATGTTTGTGTAATGTGTAGGTTTGATATTTGTACACCAACCCCTCATATGAGATGCTTTTCTTGAAATGGTAAACCTATACAGAACTCTCCGGATATTCTAAGAATTGCTGTAACAACGCAGGCCTAACAACATTTTCCTTTCCAGTTCATAGAATCAAAGAAACCATTTGAGGAGTGGGGCTGCCCCTCTGAGTGGCAGGGGTTATGGCAGGGGGAAGAAGGGGACCTAACCGGACATCCTACTGCCGCAATCCTCTCTGTGAACCTGGAGCTCCTGGTGGTGCCAGCCACTCCACAACTTCTTCAGTCACCAGTGTGCGTTCACGTACCAGGTAAAGCTGTGCTACAGGGCGAAGTTCTTGTTGAAACAAATGTAAAACCACAACACAAAAGTGTTTTTCTCTGGAATTCACATCCTGATCAGCTGTGATGAGCCAAGGAAGATTAGTGCAGTGATTCACTGTTTTCATGGAGCTGGTTTTAAATTTTTCAGGCCTTTAAAATAATCACTCTTTAATTTGATTTGGAAATTATTGATAACCAGATGTCGATGCTAAGTATTCTTGTGGCCAAGGTTTTCTCTGGAGGTAGCTTCTACACCATCTGAAAATATATCTGTGCAAAGGGAGCTGTAGCTACTTCTCTTGGCTGTAATGGTTATTTCTCTTGGTTTTAATTGTTCTGTATAAACTGCCTTGAGATATGCAGCTGGCACTGTATAAATAATGCAAGGTGAATACTTTACCTTTATTGTTGATCCAATACTTTACCTTTATTGCAAGTGATAAGGAGAGGACGATAGCTCTAAATCAGGGCTGTCAAACTCGATTTCATTGAGGGCTGGATCAGTATTGCAGCTGTCTGCCCGGGAGAGGTGGTGGTGGTAGGGGAGGCCGACTCAGCATGACCAGTTTGATGTCACTCCCGTAGGTGTTGCTTGTGAGGACTGAGTGGAATTGGGGAGGGAATCCAGGGGTCTTGGGTGGGCGGGCGTGGTGGGGCGCTCATCCTGTGGGGTAAGGTGAGGTGAGGCAGGAAGTGGGGCACCTACAGACGGAAACTCTTGGTCACTGCACGCTCACCGCCCTTTTTTGCAGGGGCGATGGTTTCCAGGCGTAGCTGCAGTCTGCCGGCTCCTTAGCTGGCACACGCTGCAGCTCCAGAGCCCACTGCCATCACCGGGCTGGCTATCCATCTGGACCGCTGGACAACTTACTCCCACTGTCTGTTTTGACTTGTGGCTGGAGAGCAGGTCACTGCGGGTCATCTTGGCCCCTTCGCGGGTCTTGCTCTTGGCCTGAATGTGGAGAGCGTTCCCCTCATGCACCTGATACACCTTGGCCCCGTTGCGGGCTGCCACCACCACTGCTCGGCAGACCCACCCACCCTGATGGAAGCGAAGCGGCCAGATAGAAAGGCCAAGCAGAGGCAAAAGGCCCAGCAGGCAAAAGACACCCACCATGAGTGGGGAAAGCCGGATCTCCCATCACACCATGGCCGCCCAGACTCAGCAAAGAATGGAGGGAGGCACCCGATCCCAGCTGAGCCTGGGCGGCCATGGCGCCAGTGGAGATCCAGCTTTTCCCGCTTGCAATGGCTGCCTTCCACCAGCTTGGCCTGCGCATGCACAACCACCTCTCTTTGGCCTTTTCAGCTGGCTGCTTCGCCTCCTTCGGGCTGGGCGGGCCTGCTACTCCAGGCAGCAACAGCAGTTTGACTTACAATACATTTGACTTACAATACCTTACCCAGAATGATTTATTTTTGTTTCCAAAATTAATACAATGCTTACGTAGCAGCAATCATTAAATCAAATAACAGCAATCATTGAATCAAATAACCCTAATAAAGTGTCAGCTATATGCTGGGGTTTTTTGCTGAATGTAATACAGATATAACACAGATAAAATGCTGCTGACAGTTCTACTGGCTATCTGTCTATTATCCATCCATCCATTGTCTCTGTGTTTGTATTTATTAAAAAAAATGTGAGGTATTCCATCGAAATGTCATGGATATCAGTCAGGCAGAGACAACATTTGGACCTGCTGATGGACCTGCACAAGCTGCTGGTGGCCTGGGTGGTGGTAGCGGCCTGCAGCAGGGCCGAGGTGCGTTGGATATGTGACAGGGATGCACTCCATGCATGGGCCAAGGGCCCCCTTGAGGGGGCCGAGGAGATGACCAGCGGCGACCTGCTCTCCAACCGCGGACCAAAACAGTCGGGAAGAGCAGGTGGGCCGATGGTGTCTGGCAGCAGCTGCTCCTCGCCTTCTCTTGGCCCGCCACGGAAGTAGCTGGAGGCAGAGGCGCAGGGGAGAGGCACACGGTCAGGCCTGGACAGCCACCTGCCCTGTCCCATCCACATGGGATGGAGCAGGCACATCTGGTGATCCGCATCACCCGCGTGTCTTCCCTGACTGACCGCTGTCGGTGCCAGCACCGCCATACCTGCTCCTTGGAGGGCCAGCTGCGGAGCCCCTGCTGCTACACACCTTCCCCCCACCCCCTGCACACACCTGAAAGGCACAAGAGGCGGGCTCAGTGCACACAGGCCCAGTCCATCCCGGCGTGCACATGTGTGCCTGCCTCATGCGCACCCCCGTGCCTGCTGGGATGGTGTGGGCCGGGCTCTGTGCAAGTTCACCCGCTGCCTCATGTGCACATGCAAGTAGGGATGGGATGGGCGGAAGCGAGGCAGGCCAGGCCCTTTTCCATTTCCAGGACGGCCCTGCAGGCCGGATCCGAGCACATCGGAGACCGAATCTATCCCGCAGGCCTTGAGTTTGACAACCCTGCTCTAAGCAGCCTTTAGAGGGCATTGTAATGGCATGAGCAAAGAACAAACAGATCGGACATGGGGATGTTAATGAAATAGGGAAAGGAGTTGTGTGCAAAACAGATTTGTACAAATGCAAGCAGTCCTCGACTTACAACAGTTCATTTAGCGACTATTCAAAGTTACAATGGCACTGGAAAAAAGTGACCTATGACTTTTCAGAAATGCGTTCCCCCATGGTCACATAATCAAAATTCAGCCGCTTGGCAACCAGCTCGTGTGTATGATGGTTGCAGTGTCCCAGGGTCATGTCAGGATTCCCTTTTGCCATCTTCTGACAAGGTCAGAGAGGAAGCCTGGTTCACTTAACAATCATGTTACTGACTTCTGTGGTGATTCGTTTAACAACAATGGCAAGAAAGGTCGTTATATGGGGCAAAACTCGCTTAACACGTCTCAGCAACAGAAATTTTGGGCTCAGTTGTCATAAGTTGAGGACTATCTGTCAGACCAAATTACATTTCTGGAAGTTGAATAAGTAAAATAGATACCAGAAAATTACCAACATTCCTGAATGCACATAAGCCTCTCTAATCACTTGCTCAAACAGTTACAGAGGCTTGCTCAGAAATATTTTAAAACAGGGCATATTCCTCCAAGGTAACTAGGAAGTAACAGCCACAAAGTCTGACTTGTGCAAGCCTCCATTTTATTAACTGTAGTCTCACTGTAAGCAGAAAATTTAATCCGCGTTATCAATAATAAGAATGGCATTTGATATTATTGGCCAGCATTTATGATACAGTTTATTTGAATCCTCAAGGTAAAGACTGTTTTTTATCCCACACTGTTGTTCAAATAAACTTAGTTTAAAGTGATCGTGTGGTGTTCACCTATCAATTGGGCCATTGGGAATTAACTCCTTCAGAGTAGGGCACATGACGAACCTCTTCGTTTAGTTGACTTGCTCTGTTTTCCTCTTGCAGGAGCGGTTCAGGGACCGGCCTTTCCAGCCCCCCTTTGGCAACCCAAACAGTGGTTCCCCTCCAGCACTGCAAGATCCCAGAGCTTCCCATCGAGAGGAACATCTTGTTTGAACTCCAGCTGTTCTTTTGTCATCTTATTGCTCTCTTTGTCCACTACATAAACATCTACAAAACAGTGTGGTGGTACCCACCATCTCACCCTCCCTCCCATACTTCATTGGTGGGTATTTTATATCTGATTGCCTGTTTGCAAGATCTTAAAGTCACATTTAGATTAGCATAGCAGAGTTGGAAGGGGCGTTGTGGGTAGTTTAGTCCCCCCCCCCCCCCCCCCCCTCAAACAGGAGACCCTACACCATTTCTGACAAACGGCAGTCCAATCTCTTCTTGAAAGCCTCCAGGGATGAAGCTCCCACAACTTCCGAAGGCAACTTCTGTTCCATTGATTCTCACTGTCAGAAAATTTCTCCTTATTTCTAGGTTGAGTCTCTCCTGGATCAGTTTCCATCCATTATGCCTTGTTTGGTCTTCAGGTGCCTTGGACCCCTTCCTCTCTGTGCAAGCGCCTCAAATATTGGAAGACTGTTATTATGTCTCCACTGGTCCTTCTCTTCACTAGATTAGCCAAGCCCAGTTCCTGTAACCGTTCTTCATATGTTTTAGTCTTCAATCATCCTGGTTGCTCTTTTCTGCACTTTTTCTAGAGGCTGAGCATCTTTTTTATAGTGTTGTGACCGAAACTGGAAGCAGTATTCTAGGTCTGGTCTTATTAAGGCTTTATAGAGTGGTATTAGTACCTCCCTTCATCTTGATTGTATCCCTCTGTTTAATGCAAGTTAGGATTACATTAGCTTTTTTGGCTGCCACCACACACTGCTGACTCATATTTAACTGGTTGTCCATTAAGACTCCAAGATTCCTCTCACAGTTACTGCTATTAAGCCTTTCAACCAGTCTATATGAGTACTTTTGGTTTTTCTTGCCTAAGTGTAGGACTTTACTTTTCTTTACATTGAATTTCATTTTATTAGATATGGCCCAGTGTTCTAGTCTGTCAAGATCCATCTGGATCTTGAGCCTATCTTCTTGGATGTTAGCTATTCCTGCCAGCTAAGTATCATCTGCAAATTTGGTAAGTTCCTCTTCTATTCCCTAATCTAAGTCATTAATGAAGATATTGAAGAGTACTGGGCCTAAGACGGAACCTTGTGGCACCCCACTGCTTACTTCCATCCATGTAGACTTAGACCCATTAAGGACTACTCATTGAGTACGGTTTGTCATCCAGTTGCGAATCCATCTGGTGGTAATGCTATCCCCCTTTTTCTTAGCTTTTTTAAATTTTTATTTATTTATAGATAGATAGATAGATAGATAGATAGATAGATAGTATAGAAGTGTAATTTACAACAGGATCTGCTGTGAGTCTTGCGGAATGGATAAGGGCTGCACATGACATGGCAAGTGAAAGCTACTATAATTTTTCTTAAATCTAGTCCCTTCAGTTAATATTAACCTTCTATGCCAGTGTTTCTCAACCTTGACCACTTTAAGTTGTGTGGACTTCAATCCTAGAATTCTCCATCCTGCTAAACCCTGTTCTATGTTGTCTGGGCTTAATCATTTAAAAAACTATTAATGTTAATTTGAAGGGTGTTACAGAAAAGCAATAGCTGAGGAAAAGCCCGGGGCTGCACCCATTGGAGTGTGCATCCTCGGGCCCAGCAACTACACTGCAGCATAAACTCTAGTGCACTTCATAAAATGTGCCAACCATTATTATGAGATAATAATATTTACAAATGTTACATATTTGTTCCCACATTTGTGGGCTCAATTATGCAGGAAGTATGTTCAGAAATCTTTGCTGACTCTGTAATCCAGTGTTTCCCAATCTTGGCAGCTTTGAGGAGGAAACTTGATTCACTTAAGATTATGTGATTCACTTAGTAACAGCAGTGATACACTAAATAACCATGGCAAAAAAGGCTTGAAAAATTGGACAGAATTCTCTTAATAGCCACTGCTTAGCAGTAGAGATTCTTGTCCCAATGATGGTCATAAATCAAGGATTACCTGTATACTCACGGCTTTATTTTCCTATTTCTCCTACGGCTCTCTGGGAATTCTTCTTGCTTTTCGGCATTTGTCAGATTGCTGCTCCTAGGGTAATCACAGTCTTGTCTTTCCTTCCTGCAGAATTTTCACCTCATTGATTTCAATGTCCTGGCAGTGACCACTATTGTTCTGGCAAGAAGATTGATAATTGCTATTGTGAAGGAAGTGAAAGAGGTAAAGTTGACCGTCAGAGATGTCGGAAATTGCTGTTTCCGGTTATGCCTTGGCTGCTTCTTACTATGTCAAGAACAGCGCTGCGCTCAGTGGCTTTCTCTAGTTCCAGGAGCTTTCCACAAAATGCCTAGCAGCAGGAAGGAAGTGTTGCTTCCATCCCATAGGCCAATTTGATGAGGCCAAATCCGGCCTGCGTGGCTATCCTGGAATCTGTTAAAGGTCCGGCCCGCATCACTTCAGCCCAGCCCACACCATCCCAGCATGCCTGCGCACGGCCAGGCCCAGTTCTCTCGCCACGTGCAGAGCAACTAAAATCGTCTGTGGGACTGCGGTTAAAAAAAAATAGTCCAGGCCTTCCAACCTCACAAGATCTTTTTCTTTTCTTTTCTTTTGTGAGAAGTTGGAAGGTCTGAACTATGTTTTTTTAACTGTAGTCCCACAGACGACTTGAGTTGCTCTGCACGTGGCAGCGGCAAAAGGGGCTGGAAAGGTTAGTGGAGAGGGATGTGGCTGCCCTGGGTGGGGATGGATGTTTGGCCTGGCTGAAGGGCCCTCAGGTAAGGTGGGGCGGGGCGGGGTGGGTGGGGCAGCTCTACACCCCCTGCCTTGCTTCGTCCTCCACCCCCCCCTTCACACCGCTTCATTCTTCCCCACTTCTCCTTGCTCGCCTCCATAACCTAGTAGGAGACTGAGCACTGCACTGGTGCGACGGCCACAAAGCGAGGCTGTGGGGGGTGGAGTATGAAGTAAGGTGGGGGGGGCGGAACTGCCAGCTTACCTGAGCGCCCCGCCAGCCAGGCACGGAAGCTCTGCAACTGCCGCTGCAGAGAGAGAGAGAGAGAGAGAGGAGGAGGAGGCCTCTCCAAACTCTCTCTGTTTGCGTATGGGAGAGAGAGCGATCTTCAGCCAAGCTGCGGGCAGAGGCATGGGAGGCAGGAGGCACCCGAGCAGGGTTGGGGAGTACGAAGCAAGGTGGGGTGAGGTGTGGAGCCGCCCGCTCCCCATGCACCGCAACTGCCCCTGCAGAGAGAGAGAGAGAGAGAGGGGGGGGGGGGGGGGGGGGTCTCCAAACTCTGTGTGTGTTTGGGTATGAGAGAAGCGAGCGAGTGCAGTCACTGCTCTGCTTGGAGCATTTAAGCTGCTGGGGGCAGGGGAAGCGGGCAGGAGCTGTTTTTCTCCTTGTCCTCCCTATTGAAGCAGCAGCAGCCACCTAATGATTGCCCCCTCCCCAATCAGCCAGCCAGCCTTACCTGGCCGGCAGGTGCAAAGCCTTGCTCTTCTCCTCCTCCTAACCAGAAGTAGTCATATCCTTGTTTTGTTTTGTTTTGTTGTTGTTCCTTTAGGCTTCTCATACGGGCAAAGTCTCCTTGCCACGCTCCATCTTCCTTGTCACCATGCGCTTTGCTGTCCTAACTGGCGCAGGCTGGAGCCTGTGCCAGTCTATCATTCACCTCTTCCGATCATACTCGCTCCTCAACCTCTTGTTCCTGTGTTATCCGTAAGTACCAAAAAAGAGGACTTGATTGTTCCTTTATTATTTTTATGAATAACTCAAGGTTGGCCCAGACTCACTTGGCTTTCATGCCTAAGGTGGGACTAGAACTCAGTCTGATGGTGACTGGCCCATACTGACCCAATTGGCTTCTAAGGCAGGACTAGGGAACTCACCGCCTCCTTATTTCTAGCCTGGTGAATTCACCACTCGACCAAACAGGCTGCCACAGTTCCCATCTTTCTGCTTCCTTCTGGTTCTGAACTACTCCCAAAATGAAACAATCTCATTATTAAAAATCAAGAATCCAGTAGCCCTTTTTCTGGCTAACAAATGTTATTAAAAGGCATAAGCTTTTGTGTGCTCATGAAAGCTAATGCCATTTAATTGAAAAAAAACGTTTTGTGTTTTTTAACATCCTTTTTGAAGTAGTAGTAGTATCATCCCACCTTCATTTTTGGCTAACTCTAGGTGACATACATTAGCTAGGTGTAGGTGATAGTTGAATTCCACCCAGAAGCACACTGAAGCCAGTCTCTCCATGGAGCAGAGGTATAAGATGGCTTCACTGAAATGCACCCGTAACTTCCTGTGCTGAAGTATTCTGGACTAGTCGCACCTTCCAGATGATCTTCAAAGCCATTTCCATATGGAGCACATTGCAGGACGCCACCTGGGACATACCTGATGCATGAGTGACTGTTAACTGGTCCTGGAGAGGATTCTACTGGAGAACAAAATGGAATAGTGCAAAGATTCTGTACCAATTCTCCTTGATGCAGTGCAACCGTAGTATCTAAAACTAAAGACTGGAATGCCCTGGATCCGAGAAGCATTAAGCCTCAACAGCCATATGGTTTTGTCATTGTTGAGTTGCAGCCTGTTTTCCCCATCCATACTTTTACAGTCCATGGCATCACTTGGCCACCCTGGAGCTTAAATACACTAGCACCTAGACATGTATACCGCTTTACAGTGCTTTACAGCCCTCTCTAAGTGGTTTACAATGTTAGCATATTGCCCCCCAAAATCTGGGTCCTCATTTTACCAACCTCGGAAGGCTGAAAAACTGAGTCAACCTTGAGCTGCTCAGGATCGAACTCCTGGAGCGAGCAGTGAGTTAGCTTGCAGTACTGCATTCTAACCACTGTGCCACCACGGCTCTTAAAAAGCTGGATATCACCAGCATACTACATATCAATAGCACTTAGATTTATATACCACTTCACGGTGCTTTACAGCTCCCTCTAAGTGGTTTACAGCCAGCCTCTTGCCCCCAGCAGTCTGGGTCCTCATTTTACAGGCCTTGGAAGGATGGTAGGCTAAGTCAACCTTGAGCCAGCAAGAATCAAATTGCTGGCAGTCAGCAGAATTAACCTACAATGCTGTATTCTAACCAATGCGCCACCGCGATTGTTCACCCAGTGCCATCCTTACACATTACATACCTCAAGTTGTCTTCTTTTATTTTCCCCACGACAACTATCCTGTGAGGTGGATTGGGCCAAAGGAATGGGATTCGCTCAGTCACCCAACAGGCTTTCCTGCCTAAGAGAGGGCCAGAACTCATGGTCTCTTGGTTTCTGGTTCATTACCTTAACTGCAATGGCAGATCGGAGGAGCATGGTGACTAGAATGCTATTGCCCAGTAGAGTATTAGCCATAGCATTCTAGTCACCTCACATCCAGTTTGGTATGCTCATAGCATTACAGTATTGGTTGCCTTTCCAGTTTACTTTCTAAAAAGCTTTAAGATAGGAATCTCTCTTCGTTAGAGCAGCTGCAAGTCTGTTTCATGCGTGTACAAAATTGGGAAGTTTATAATTTTTGATTTGCTGCTTTAATGCCCACCCGCACCAGTTTTTGCGTTCTTGGAGCTCCCTACAACCCCTGACAGAGAATATGAGGGAATTATCAATAAGGCATTGTCAGAATATTCCACTGTTCTATTGATTATTTGTAATTTTAGGGCATTGATGAACAACTTCAGAAGGGCCCTACATCTTTTATAGAACTATTCATTTATTCGTAGCTGTTTCAGGTGTTTCAATCCATTTTAGTCAGTAAGATAGCAATACTTTATCTGTTACTTGCCTGCTAAGTGTCAGCTCGTGAAGCTTCCCTGACCTGCTCTTGAGTTGCCACAGGCAGGGGGATGGGAAATCGCGCCTCGCAGCTGCACCAAGGCATTTACTCCTCAGTCATACCAAAATGTAACCTGGCCGAGCAAGTCAAGGCCATCTCCCACGGATACCAGCAATGCCTGGAGGGAGTGACCTCCACAACCCTTGAAATTGCCTCATTGGGGAGGGGTAAAGGGGTTAGAAGTGAGGCGTGAAGTGGGTGAAGTCAGAGTTGGCTTCGTCCAGGTAAGGCTGACATGGTACTCCTAATAAAAGACTGGATTTTTATTGCCAGATGGCTTGAGACTCTTAATTGCATTAGGGCCCTGGTCAGAACCCTGACACTAAATTTGCTATTTTCAGTGAGGAAATTGGAAAAAAAAAAATAAGAACCTTTATTGTCACTTTTTTTTTTTTGTGACAACACTGGCACACATTTAAAAAATGAAATTCTTATTATACAGTATAATCCAATTTAATGTTTCTCTTTGTTCATACTTGTTCAAATCTTGTTGACAGTTTTGTATATCCAAAATATATGGAGCCAGAATCTAGCTTTAACGAATTTTGTTCTTTTACAGATAGATATACTTAATGACTTGTTCAGCAACTATTCAAGCTTGTGATGGCACTGAACAAGTGGTTCTTATGCTGGTTCTCAGTGTCACAGCCTCCAGAAGTCACATAATCCTTATTTGTGACCTTTTCTGACTTCTTACAAGCAAATTCAATGAGGAAGCAGATAGGAAGTCACAAATGGTGACCAAGTGATATCCTTGCTTAATGATTGCTCTGGATTCCCTTAAAGAGAGCAACCAAGAAGAGTTGGACCTGCTATTGCTAGGCTGTCATGTGATGTCACAGTTTATGACTGCATTGTTTAGCGACAGAAATTACGGACCCAGGTGCTGTCATTAACTGAGGACCACCTGTATTAAAGAACAAAGCATTTATAGTCCTCCAGATGATTTTGGGTTTCCATTACTTTAATATCCAGTTGTTTTGGTCAGTGGCCAGTGATGGCATAGTTGTCCTCTTCTGGATATTTGATGACTGTATTTTAATAAGTTATTCTATCTACGCCAGAGTAAGCATTGCGTTACGTTACTTGTAATTTCTTTAAATTACTTTAAACAAATCTCTGACATTAAGTAGGCCTCTTCCCACTCTCTCACTTGACTTGTTTTACAGTATTCTTAGTGGCAACGGATTCATGTTAATTTCTGTGAGAACTCTCAAATGAATACCAGTTAGATTATAAGCTACTCAGTGTTTGGAAAGTAACCTGGATGATGAATATAACTTCATAAAAGTTACTTCAGAATTGCTCTCCTTTTCCAAGGTTTGGCATGTACATCCCCTTCCTGCAGCTGAACTGCGATTTCCGCAAGAGCAGCGGCTTCTCTCCTGTGGCCAGCATTGGCCCTCGTGACACGGGGGACGTCAGCTTGCGGGGAAAGGACTACCTCTCTGTTCTCAAGGAGACTTGGAAGCAGCACACTCGGCAGCTCTACAGCATGGAGACTATGCCCACCCATGCCTGCTGTCTCTCCCCAGATCTGATCCGCAATGAAGTGGAGTATCTGAAAGTGGATTTCAACTGGCGCATGAAGGAGGTGCTGCTAAGTTCCATGCTCAGTGCCTATTATGTGGCCTTTGTACCAGTGTGGTTTGTGAAGGTAGGTGGTTGTGGACTGGGGCTCCTGCAGGACAGTCCAGTTGTGGGGCGGGGCGGGCAGACCTCTCACTCGAGGTTGGACCAGTTCTGAAAGGGAAGGGGGCCCTTTTAGAAACCATAAGAGTTTTGACGTGTTTATATAACTAACTTAACCTCATGCATTCGGCCCCCTAAAAACACTGTCGCTTTCTTCTAGAAGTTAGTCGTTTCTTCTGTGTAGTTCAGAATCAGGAGGTTTTATCCTGTTCTATTTTTCTTCAGCCCCATAAATTTAGGGATCTCAGATATGGGTTGAGACCATGGCGTTATGACGCAGTCATGGACTGCCATTCGTTAGAAATGGTGTAGGGCAGTGGTCCCCAACCACCGGGCCCCGGACCGGTACCGGTCTGTGGATCATTTTGTACCAGGCCACCTATTTTGCTTGGGTGCCGCCATCTTGTTTTGACGGTGCTTGAGAAAGTGCTTCCGGGTGAGCTTGTCGGTCGTCGGTTGTTGGAAAGCGGCGTTTGGGTGCTGAAGGAATCCTCGCGCCTTAGTTTTGTCGAAGTGGGGGGGGGGCGGCAGCTTCGAACAAAGATCCGTCCCGATGGCGGTGGAGTCTCCCGTTACTCAGGAGGAGATTAAGAAAGAGCCCGAAAAGCCCATCAACCGCGAGAAGGTACAAAGGAGGAGTTGAAGGTGGCGGGGAGAAGCGGGGGACGGCTGGCCGGCCGGTCGCTCGGCTCACCTTGCCTTGGTCGTGCGTGCTGATGCCGGTACCGGTCAGTGGATCATTTTGTGATGCCGGTACCGGGCCGTGGTACAAAAAAGGTTGGGGGCCACTGGTGTAGGGTCTCCTGCTTGGGCGGGGAGGGGAGTTGGACTAGATGACCTACAAGGTCCCTACCAACACTGTTAATCTTAGTTTTAGTCTTAGTTTTGTGCCTTGGGCAAGGTTGTGCAAATTGGTTGTGCAAATTATTGTATAAAACAATAAGTTTTAGGGCAGGGGTGTCCAATCTTAGAAACTTTAGGGCTTGTGGATTTAAACTCCACCCCGTTGAAGGTCATAAATCTTAAAGGTACCAAAGTTGGACACCCTTTTTATAGAGACGAAGTTTGAGGTGGTTCACATATTTTATCACATTTTACAACACAGTCAGTGCTTATTTGGTTTTATTCATAAGTCTATTTCGAAATCATCCTCCAGATCAGATGTTAAAATCGAACATACTTGACCTATTCTGGTCCCCAGAACCACCATGTAATGCAGAAGTTGGACAGCCTTGCTGGATCAGGCCCAGTGCTATAGACTTCCGCAAATAATCCCCGTTTCCCACTCATCAAAGAGCTGTCCCTTGGATGATCTGGATACTTTGGGAAATGCAAGCCTAGTTTGGAAAGTACAGCTGTGGACCTCATTTTTTCCCCCCTGTTTGTTCCTGACCTTTTCCCACAGAGCACTCAGTATTACGACAAGCAGTGGTCGTGCGAGTTGTTCCTGTTGGTCTCCATCAGCACGTCTGTCATCCTCATGCAGCACCTGCTGCCTGCCCGCTACTGCGACCTCCTGCACAAGGCTGCTGCACATCTGGGCTGCTGGCAGAAGGTCGACCCGTCTCTTTGCTCCAACGTCCTGCAGCATCAGTGAGTGGCCTCCGTCTTCCAGAAATCAATTTCTCTGTACTTTTAGACAGCCAGAGACTCCGTTTGTACGAAGCAGCCTTCCTAAACTTGTCAGTTCCCAATTCTCAGAATTGTCAGTTGCAGCCTGGAGGTACAGAATGCCGCCTTAAGCAGTGGGGTGAAAAGTAACAGGCGTCTTAAGTTTGATCTAATCTGGTGTCTCCTTTTTAGAAATATTTTAACCATTTTTAAGTGTTCAACTAGCTAAATGCTACTTGGGGCCTCACAAGCTGGCATAAAGGCCCGGTCCTCCTGCTCGTAGCCTCTCTTCCCTCTTTTCCCATTTTCTGTGGGGTTCTCACGGCCCATCAAGGATCCTTTGAAAAGCCCCAACTAAATCTGAGGAGCCTTCTGGCATTGGGTCTGCTGTAAAAGGCCCATAATGTCCAATTTGGGGTGGGAATGGGGAAGTGGCTACCATAAAAGGAAGCTTTCTGTGAAAAAGAAATTAGAAATTGTGCAGCGGCTGCACCTGTGTGCCATCTCTGGTCAGCACCGTTCTGTATTTCGCAGGTTTGTATCTATAACATTAGTTCACTTCCTGTACCTGTTTGTCTTGAGGAATTGCTTAATTTCAGTGTGTGGCTCTATATTTGCAGGACATTGTATCTCAATGCAATACAGGCAGTCCTCGATTTGTGACCATTGTAGAACCTGCCCATCACGGTCATAAATCATGATGATTGTAAAACGGGTCAACCATTTGACCGACCCAATGTTATGACCCCTTTTTTGTGGCGGTTGTTAAGTGGCTGCCATGATTGTTAATACAAACTAATGGTCCACTGTGGGACAATTTTGCCAGAAACCAGAAATGCTGGTTTCCAGGAAAACCTTCATAAAAGATAGTCACGTGACTACAGGATGCAGCCAAAGACTCTAAATGTGGGACCGATCCCAAGTGCCCCGGTGTGCCATGTGACTGCGAGGGGGCAGTTGTCAGGACCCCCAGTGGAGATAGAGTGTAACTTCAAATATGCGTAGTCCTCGACTTACAACAGTTCATTTAGTGACCGTTCAGCGTTAAAACTACACTGAAAAAAGGGACGTAATGATGACTATTGCAGCATCTCCATGGTCACATCATCAAAATTCAGATGCCGGGCAACTGACTCCCACGTATGACGGTTGCAGTGTCCCTGGATGTGAGGGCGATCTGGCTGCGACATCTGTCACCCCATTGATCGCCAGGGTTGATTCGGCTGACCTGGCTGGCTAGGCGGGTGTCCCCTTCCTCCCTCACCACTCCATGGGCGTCCCTCCCGAAGCTGCGTGCTCGGTGGAAGAGGATGGCCATCCCAGATAGAAGAAGTGTACCGATCTTCGGCCAAGGAGTGCAGTGTCCCAGGGCCCCGTGATCCCTTCTTGCAATCTCTTGACCAGCGAGGTCGATGGGGAATGCAGAGACACTTAACAGTTGTGTTACTGTTAACAAAGGCCGTGATTCACTTAAGAACTGCGAAGAGAAAAGTCATAAAATGGGTCACACCTATTTAACAAATGTTTCGCTTGGCAACGGAAATTTTGGGCTCTGTTGTGGTTGTGATTCAAGGACTGCCTGGAGCTGTGAAGGAATCGGTCAGTAGTTGCTAAGTAACTAGGGTGGCCGAGGCCAGCTCGACATTGCTCGGGTTGTGGTGTCCGGGGTGGTGCTGGGGGGTTCCAGTGTCTCCAGCGGAAGAAGGCGAGACCAGGGAGAGCACCAGACCCTTGTCCTCCAGAGGAGCCTTGTCCCTCTCAGGCCGCACGGAGGATCCTGGATGGCGGCGCAGGCTGTCCAGAGTCCTAGGCAGGAGAGGGCAAGTGCCTAGACCGGCTCTCAAGCTCCCAGGGCAACGGGACCCCACAGTTCCAAGCTCCATTTTGGGTTGTGATGGCCTCCTGCAGGGCTCTGCCAGTGAAAACGGAGCTCGGGAAGGTGGCGGTGGTGGTGCGGCCCTTCCAAGCACCGTTTTTGCTAGCAGAAGAACCCCGGGCCGGTCCTTGGAGGTTTCCAAGGCAGCCCTGCGGGCCAGATCTAAGCAACCTGTGGGCCACATCTGGCCCTGGCCCTTGAGTTTGACAGCCCTTCCTGCTCTACAGTCCAGGATTTTGGATCTGAAAGACAACCTACTACCCTTCTCACTCACTCCCCGACTCCTCTCAATGACGAGAGAGAGAGATTAGATAAATAGATAGACAGACAGACAGACAGACAGAGAGAGAGAGAGAGAGAGAGAGAAATAGAGAGAGAGAGAGATTCCTTTCCAATGTTAAATTCCTGCCCAGTATCTCTCAGTAAGAAAACAAGCCCTGTGCTGCTTGGCAGTCCTCTGTCCTCCCGCTTGGAAGTCAGTGCCACCAAAGGGGAGGGTTAGCCGCTGGGAAAGGCCCAGCCTCTCCTTCTGCTCCTTCCATCAGGTCCCTGTTGCACGTGTTTTGCAGGTGGACGGACGAATGTCTGTGGCCACAGGGGGTGCTAGTGAAACACAGCAAAAACGTCTACAAAGCAGTGGGCCACTCCAATGTGGCGGTGCCTTCGGATGTCTCCCACTTCCGCTTTCACGTAAGCTGCTTTCCTTGTACAAACATTTGGCCGGGAATGGCTGCCCTCTTGCCCGGCCCTTCCTCCACAGTGGTTTGGTCTCTAGGGACTGCATGAGTGCAGCCGGTGGTTTGCTAAGGGACTTTTTTTTAAAAGCACCCTACGATCCCTGGGACCCTGATGGCGAACCTATGGCACGCGTGCCAGAGGTGGCACACAGAGCCCTCTGTGGGTATGTGCACCGCCGCCAGCTGCTCTCCTGGTTTCTGGGGTGCCGGAAAACAGCCCAAAACCAGGGTCGGGCCATTTTCGGGCCTGAAAAGGGCCCCAAAACCGGTCTGAAAAAAAAAAACCGAAAAATGGCTTGAAAAGGGCCCAAAATGGTCTGAAAAGGGCCTAAAAACAACCAAAAATGGCTAAAAAACAGGCATGCATGCAACAGCCAGTTGGTTTTGGGGGTTTTCGGCACTCCGGCATGCACAAATGTGTATTCCAGTTTGGACCCTTGGTGCTGAAAAGGTTCGCCATCACTGCCCTAGGATTTCCTGGTGGTCTCCCAACCAAGAATTAACCAGGCTCCAGTTTGCTTAGCTTGTAGCCCAAAAGGATTCTGGGTGTTGCAGAGGTAGCTTCTGCCTATAAGCCTCCAAGCCCTGAGTGAAAAGAAGATGGTGTTCTTTTCATTGGCTCTCCAGCCAGGAAAACCATTACTGGGAATTTTCTACAGCCTCTATTCCCTCTTTATTATTTATTTTAGGGTATTTTTTCAATTTGGGGCCTGGAACATTAATTTAAAAGCATGCCAAGACATTCGTCATTTGCCTGAAGAAGAGGAAATGGGAACTTAATTCTGCCATCACCAGAAAGGCTGGGCTATAACTTTCTAATTGATAGAGACGCCCAGAGCACAGGGCCAGCGATGCCGCTGTTAGCAACAGAGAGTTCTTAAGAATGGGGCGTTCCAGGACCAGTGTGTGTGAAAGTGAAGGCTGCCCTGCATCTCCCTGCTGTGTTGGCAAAAGGCTGGTTTTATCAGTAAAGTTTTTTTTCTGGACTATTTGCCCATTACTCTTGCAGCTGATCTGAAAACCACAGGCTAGAAAGTTGAAGGATGCTAAATAAACCCCTGTCAGTAAACACAGTTGCCCATAACTTAGAACGCACCTTGGTATTTCTCTGTTGGGCACTGCCACTGTTCCCCCAAACTTCTCTTCTGTGCCCTTTTCCTGTCTTGTCATCCAGAGTTTTTCAGCCCTGCTCTGACAGCCAAGAGAGCCAACACAGCACTGATTAAATTAAAAAAAAATGTATTTTTAAGAGCTCCGATCCCCCTCAAAGTGGCTGCAGTTCCATTTCCCTTTTTGCAATTTTGTGAGGTTCAAGGTGAGAATAGCAAAAGATCTGATGAAGATATGAGATATTTACTCTGCACTTTTAACTTTTTAGGTTCTGTTTTGGTTTGGCAAGTCGGTTTGAATGCTCACTAGAGCAAAACATTGGGTATAAATAAAATAAAATAAAGTAAGAAATGCGTGAATGTTAAATAGTATAATTTTACTCTGATTCCTGGATTGAAATCAGTATCTTTGTGAAGTCACTGGGCCTCAGGAGCTGCCGGATATTCACTCCAAGGATCCTCTCTTCCCTCTAGTTTTTTTTCAGCAAGCCTCTGCGGATCTTGAACATCCTGCTCCTCCTTGAGGGGGCCATCATCTTCTATCAACTCTACTCACTGGTGATCTCCGAGAAGTGGCACCAGACCATCTCGCTGGCCCTGATCCTCTTCAGCAACTACTATGCTTTCTTCAAACTCCTACGGGACCGCCTGGTGCTGGGGAAAGCTTACTCGTACTCTGCCCCCCGAGAGGCTGATCTGAAGCTGAACTGAGGGCGAGGTGCAGAGGTAATGGAGAGCAGTAGCTCCCGGCGTTGTTGAGGGCCACCCGAGACTGCTCCGAGAGGCCGTCTCAGCTGCCTGCCCTGCAGGAGAAGCGTTTCCTCACTGGGTCACGGAGCATGCTGGAGCACGGGGCTTGAGAATCATGCAGTCAGGCCGGCCCTGAGCTTTGTATGTCTTTTTTACCATTTCTTTTGGTTTGGTTTTTGCTTCGGTAAGGAAAATATCTTATTTTTATACTCTCAATTTCTGTCAGCCTACTTTGTGGAGCAGTTTAAGAGCTGTAACAACCACCCAGTCTTATGAGTATTTCTTGTCAATATTCTGGGCTGCCTGAGGACTTGTTGGGGTGTGGGTGGGTATGTTCTGCATTTGTAAGAATTTGCAGCTTAGCAAAAAAACACAAGGTCTGTAATCAAAAATTTCTCTGCTCTCTCCCCCCCCCCCCAGTCTCCATAGAAAACACTGCAGGGCTTTAGGATCTTGATGGCAGGCGGTCCTGTAAATCTTTACAGGAGAAAGGAGTTTTTAACAGCTCCAGGAAATACTCTTATTGGGTACATCTGTCCCCAGTGACAGTAGAGCAGTGCTTTCTCAACCGTGGCAACCTTAAGATGTGTGAACTTCAACTCCCAGAATTCCTCATGTCTGGCTGGGAAATTCTGGGAGTTGAAGTGGGCCTGGCAGCCAAGGTTGAGAAACGCTTCAGTAGAGGAAGGAATTGAATTGAAACTCTTGAAATGATTTCAGCTAACGCTTTTTGAAGAAAGAGAATGGGGGAAAGGGAGGTATATAACACTCGTAGTTTGGCAGCATCTTTTCTGACTAATAAATATTATGGAACCTTTTACAAAACCACGAGGGATGCGAGTTAACAAGGCTCACATGCAGACTGGATGGTATTTCCTGTGTCTCCTCCTGTGCAGTAGTTGCTTGAAACAAGAACCTTTAAGTGCAGGGAAAAGGCCTGAGGTGATTACAGAGCGTTCTTGCCCCGAAACTGTCCCTATCAGTGGTTAAACATTAAGAAATACAAAGGCAGGGATAGTAGTGGGGAGTTTCTTGCCAGTCAAATCTTTCCTGTTCTACTTTTTTTTTGAAAGCATGGGACATTGCTCAGTCAGGTCAAGGCTTCTCTAGCCTATCATCCACTTCCTTCTGTGGCCAGCCAGATGATATTGGCAGCCCTTGGACAGATAGCCATTGCGGTCTTCTGTTCCAGTCATGGACTCACTGTCGGTGCTGGGATAAGCCCCAGTTGCTGGTCAGTTGATTTCCTCCAGATCACCTCTTTGATCATTTGTGCATTGCACACTTCCTAAGGGAATCCTGACTGTTGCGCACCAGCCATGGAGTCATGGGACTCCAGGAGGTGAAATCTGCCTGAACATCTCCTGCCTCTGTATTTACACATGGTTGGTGACCTATTGTAAGTGCTTTTTCACTGCTTGGCCGGTATATTAAGGCAAGAATGTCCAATTTTGCCAACTTTAAGATCTGTGCACTTCAACATGCTGGCTGGGGAATTCTGGAAGTCTTAAAGTTACCAAGGTTGGACACTTCTGTGTTAAAAGTATGGGCTGTCTTGCCAGCTTCATTTGCTAAGAAAAGCATGAAGGGGTATTTTTTAAGAGTCATGGTCTCGGTCAGGCAGAGTTCGGCTGTCCTACAATTTCTAAAAGAAATTTCTAAAAGGAGAGAGCGCTACCAAAAGTACTTCAAAATGGAAGAGAGCACTTTGCATGGGATCAAATTTTGTTGTCTTTCAAAGCCAACATTCGTCTTTTGGAGGTGAGTAGGGAGGAAGAGAGGAATTGTAGTGATTCATTAAATTGAGCCTTCCAATTGTACAGAGAGTCCTTGACTTATGATGGCAGTTGTTAAATGAGTCTCATCTGATTTTACAACTTTTTTTTGCCACAGTAGGGCTTAGAGTGGTTAGAGTTCAGTACTGTTCCTTCTGCTGCCTGCCAGCTGCCTACAATTTGGCAGATCGAATCCCACCAGGTTCAAGGTTGAGTCAACCTTCCGTCCTTCTGAGGTGGGTCAAATGAGGACCCAGATTGTTGGGGGCAAGAAGCTGACTCTGTAAACTGCTCAGAAAGGGCTGTAAAAGCATTGTGAAGCTGTATATACGCCTACGTGCTATTGCCCTTCCTCCCTCCCTCCCTCCCTTCCTTCCTTCCTTCCTTCCTTCCATCCTTCCTTGCATCCATCCATCCATCGTTAGAAAACACTATTGCAGGCTGACTCTGCCCACTGCCAGGAGTTCAATCCTTACTGGCTCAAGGTTGATTCAGCCTTCTGTCCTTCTGAGATGGGTAAAATGAGGACCCAGATTGCTGAGGGGGAAAGGCTAACTCTGTAAACCGCTTAGAGATGGCTGTAAAAGCACTGTGAAGCCGTATATAAGTCTATTGCTATTAATGTTTTTACACTCCTGGATTGTGCCTTGCTGTGCAGAGTCATAGAGGTGCGGGGGCTGGCACCTGTTTATTCAAATACGTGCCTACAAACAAACAAACAAAGGATTCACTCATTCTTAATTTCTGTAAGAGAATGAAAATACCCATGAAATATCCTTACTGGCCATTTCCCTGCCCAGGGCAGCAAGGCCCTTGCGTGTATTTTTAAAACGAATCACATGTAGCAAAATTTCATTGGTTTAGACTCATTTTTCCTTTCCTAATGTGCTGGGCATAATAAATCTGCGCAGGAAGTCCTATGTCTAAAACCGCTGACAGCCACGGGACTTGCCTGTTCTGCCCTGGTGATGAGAGAGCACAACTGGCAGTTACCAAAGGCCTTCCCTGCCTTTGAAGGAACAACTAGACATTCTTCACATCAAAAGACAGTAGTGCTCATAAGGAAACCACCCAGGATTTGAGATATAAATTGGGCAAAGCTAACTGTACTTTTTTTCTTAGCTAACTGCTGCTTCAGGGTCCTTTTCCTGAAAGGCTTTGGTCTGTAGCTCAGCAGGGTATGCTGCTAGGAAGATGTAGGGCAGGGGCCTCCAACCGGGGCAACTTTACTACTTGTGGATTTCAACCCCTGGAATTCCTCAGCCAGTCATGATGAAGAATTACTTGTACCAAGGATTAACTGTACCATTGTTGTTGTGGGGTTTTTTTGGGGGGGGGACCCCACAATGGTGTAGCTCAATGTTTTTCAACCTTCACAGCTTTAAGAGGTGTGGATGTTAACTCCCAGAATTCCCTAGCCAGACATGAGGAATTCTGGGAATTGAAGTCCAGTGGTAAAGTTGCCAAGGTTGGAGACCCCTGATCTAGGATTTTATCTTTACAGCACAAAGGAACTTCTAACGGCTCGTGGAAACGTTCTGTTGGGTGCATTTGTGCATCCTGAAATGATTTAGAGGAGCATTCTCAACCTTGGTAACTTTAAGAAGTGTGGACTTTTAACTCCTAGAATTCCTCATGTCTAGCTGGGGAATTCTGTGATGACCCAGGGTGTGGCACAAAAGCAACCCAACCAGAGAGCAGATCTAATTCTCCTTTGTTGCTCCAACTGTGCCCCCAAACGTTCCCACATTCACTATAAGTCCCGGAGCAAAGCTCTCACACGCACCTTGAGAAGCCTCTGGCTGGGAGTAGTCCAGTTAGGAAGGTTAGCCACACAGCAACCAGGACCAGCAGTCCAGTAAGCCAGGTTAGCCCAAACATTAATAAGGGCTAGCAGTCCAGTAAGCCAGGTTAGCCCAAACTTTAACAAGGGCCAGCAGTCCAATAAGCCAGGTTAGCCAAACATTAACAAGGGCCAGCAGTCCAATAAGCCAGGTTAGCCCAAACATTAAGAAGGGCCAGCAGTCCAGTAAGCCAGGTTAGCCAAACATTAACGAGCCAGCAATCCAGTAAGCCAGGTTAGCCCAAACATTAACAAGGGCCAGTAAGCCAGGTTAGCCAAATACTAACAAGGACCAGCAGTCCAATAAGCCAGGTTAGCCCAAACATTAACAAGGGCCAGCAGTCCAGTAAGCCAGGTTAGCCAAACATTAACAAGGGCCAGCAATCCAGTAAGCCAGGTTAGCCCAAACTTTAACCAGAGCAAGGAGTTCGGTGCAGCAGGCAAACCGGGCAAGCCCCACAAGACAGCACAGCAATCTCCAGGCGCTGGCAAGTGCACACGAGGCTCCACAGATCCAAGGCTTGTTCCCCCACGAAGGCCCCTCCCACCGGCCCCTCCTTGCATCTCAGTCCCCAGGTGTGCCTTGTGAAAAGGGGCGGGGCACTCTCCCCTCTCTTCCCCTCCCCCCAGCCGTCTCTCCTCCCTCCTTGCTCTCTGATCAGGAGGGGGCAATCCTTGCTCTTCCCCTGAGCTCGCTCTGTCTGCAGGCCTCCCTAATTCGGAAAAGCCTTGCCTGGATGGACTCGGCCCT